TACCCAGTCCCCAACTTCTATCCATCCTAATGGTTGTTGTCTTACACCCCCTACTGAAACAAGTCCCCTTGCCCAAATGACAATTTTGTGCAGCTCCTTCTTTGCTCTTTGATTAACATGCTGTCTAAAATGTCAGATGCCCTACCGTACGACGTTGCAGTTCTTGTTGAACAATTACTTTCGGTTATCACTAAAAATAACACTTCCAATGGCTCTCCAGGTCCTCCAATGGAACTTTAGGAGTATCCGGCGTAATAAACAAGATATCTCTTATTTAATCAACCAACATAAACCTGTTATGTTTGCAGTCTCAGAAACCTGGTTGAAGCCTGATTTCCATTTTAGGATTTAAATAAATGATGGTTATGCCGCTTGCGCTTTGTTGGTCAATAGGAATATCTCATTCTCTCAAATCGCATTACCAAATCATTCTCCTGGCTTAAATATTGTTGCCTTCAGAGCTTTTAATATTTCCTTTGTCTCTGTGTACATCCCCCATCCCAACACAAACATTTTTTTTTAATTTAAAACAATTTTTCTAGCTATTCCTTCCCCTATGATAGTTCTAGGTGACTTTAACTGCCATCACACTCTATGGGGCTCTCCCTGTATTGACTCACACTCTTCTATCTTACTTGATGCTATGGATGATTGTAACTTGTGCATTCTTAATGATGGATCTGCAACCCGTAGGGTTTCTCCTTCCCAAAATATTAGTGTCCCAGATCTTTCACTATCTTCTCCTGCCCTATTATCCCACCTATCCTGGTCTCCCCTACCTAACTCCCTTGGTAGTGATCACTTCCCTATTCTAATCTCTTACTCCTCCTCTGCTTCATATGTCCCCCAAACACTACATCCCCTTCTCAAATATAGAGTTTCCCAAGCCAATTGGGACGAATTTGCAACTTCAATGGATTCAAATTTAGCCTCTCTCCCTCAAATTAATTTCTCTAATTTTCTTCTTCTTTATGACCAATTTATTGCTTCACTTTACTCAGCTCTATCCCCCTAACAATAACAATCTTCCCGTAAATTGACTTCTTCTCCCCCTTGGTGGGATTCTGAATGTACTGCCAGTGTTAAGAAGCGTAACGGGCTAAGAACAAATTTGCTTCATCCCTCTCAATCGGACTTCCTCAATTTTAAAAAGATCTCTGCTAGCACAACTAGACTTCTTTCTGCTAAGAAATCTTCAGGATGACGTACCTTTTGTGAGTCTTTATCTCCTCGCACTAGTCTCTCACTTGTATGGAAGAAATTCAAGACTTTCCGTAAACTTCTTAATGACTCCAACATATCTAGCAATGATCCTCATTCATTTCTCCACGACTTCCTTAGCCAACTGGCTCCTCCATATGCTCCTTAATATGATTATTTTCCCCCTTCCTATTCTTCTTTTCCAGATTCCTCTCAAAATACTATGGATGATCCCTTTTCTTTTACAGAATTATCCTATGCCCTAGATAATCTATATGATTCCTCTCCTGGCATTGACGGTATCCCTTACTCTTTTATTCGTAAATCCTCCAATTCTTGCAAAAAATTCTTCCTTAGCACCTCAATGCCATCTTTTATTCTGGTCAAATACCTGACTCTTGGAAGACCCAAATTATCATCCCTGTTCTGAAACCTGCTAGAGATCCTAAAGATTCGTCTTCCTATCGTCCTATTGCGCTTTCCTCAGTGCTGGCTAAAATCATGAAAACATTAATTAAATTTAGACTTGAATGGATTCTGGAACACAAGGAATTATTAGCTAAAAATCAGTTTGGCTTTAGAAAGGGTTTAGGCACTTTAGATAGCCTCAGCATCCTTACCTCTGTCTACCTAATTCGCCTCGCTTTCTCTTGCAACGAGAATGTAATCGGGGTGTTCCTGGACATCTCTGCAGCCTATGACAATGTACATCTTCCTCTTCTCAGGCAGAAAATACTACAGCTGAGTATTCCAGCGAGGATGGTTCACGTCATCTGCAATATGCTCATGTGTCATTCTATTTCTATTCGTCATCAGGGTTCCCTTCTCCCTCCCCGTCTCGTATGGAAAGGCCTTCCGCAAGGTTCAGTGCTTAGTCCCATCCTTTATAATATTTATACTTATGACTTAGACCAGTCTGTCAGCTCTTTCTGTAAAGTCCTTCAATATGCTGATGATGTTGCCTTATATTTTAAGTCATCTTCCTTCTGTACTGCCACTTCCCGATTAAATTCCGCTCTTTATTATCTGAACGTTTGGCTTTTAGACCACAATCTTTCTCTTTCTGTTACTAAATGTAGTGCCCTTGTTTTCACTCGTAAACGTAATATCCCTGATATAAACCTCTCTGTTGCAGGTGAATTAATCCCAATAAAAGATAACGTAAAGTTTTTAGGCCTCATTCTCGATTCTAAATTATCAGGTATTCAGCATCTAAACCATGCCACTAAGAAGAGTGAAAGGGGTGTAAACGTTATGCGGGCCCTATCTGGGGTCCGTTGGGGCTCCCACCCTTTTTGCCAAAAACTCTTATAAAATGCCATAGTTCGCAGTCACTTTGATTATGCTTCTTTCCCTCTAGAACCATGCAATAAAATTGCTCTTTCTAAGCTACAACTAATCCAGTCTAAGTGCCTCCGAATCATTACTATGAAATGCTCTCCAGTAAACGCTCTCCAAGTTGAATGCTTAGAACCCCCTCTTCACCTTCGTCGCCAATTCCTAGCTGACAGATACTTCTTCAATGCAGCCCAAATTAATTCCCATCCCCTTCTTCCAATTTTGCTTCAACTTTCTAGTCTGGCCACCACCTCATTGTACTTGAGACACAAGCCCTTCCCTTTACTCCTTAATTCCTTTATTAAAATGAAAGATCTATCTGATCCTATCTTACAATCCTCTTTAAATCCTGTCTTTGAGCTAGACTATAATTCTTTAACTTTTCAACCTAAAATCATCCTTGACTTTGGCATCAATAAACATTCTCCGACAGCCAACCAAAGTTTTCTTCACATCATTGCAGAGGACTGGTCTAATTGGGTTACGCTTTATACGTATGCATAAAAACTTTCTTCAGATTCATTTGTGGGTTGTGCAGTTTGGATCCCCAAATTTAAAATTATATTAAGCTATAAATGCTCTTCCTACAGTTCTATCTTTTCAGGAGAACCTATTGCCCTATTAGAAGCGGTCTCCTATGTCGAATCTCATAAACTTGACAAGTCTCTTATTTTGTCAGATTCTTTGAGCTGCCTACAAGATCTTTTAAAAAATCCCTTCAAAGCTCGCAATAATTTTCCTATTATCCTTAAAATTAAAGAGGTTCTTCACAGGTGCCTATTGTCCGGTATTGAAGTAGTTCTAGCGTGGATCCCCAGTCATTCAGGTATAGCAGGCAATGAAACTGCGGACTCCTGCGCCAAAACAGCAGCTCAGACTGGATGCACGTCCCACAAATTCTGTTTCGCCCGAGATCTGCGTTCCCTAGCCAAACTTTCATTGACTGAGTCCTGGAATAATACATGGCAAATTAGTAAAATGACCAAGGGTAAATTTTACGGCTCTCTTCAACCCTTAATTCCTTCTAGATCCTGGTCCTTCAAACAAAAACATGTTAGTAAGTCAGCCACCTCTACTATAATTCGTTTACGATTAGGATTTGTCAGTACCCCAGTTTTTCTTGCCAAAATTCCAGTTCGTGATCACTCCCTATGTGAGTGCGGTCTCGACGAAGGTACTCTAGAACATATTTTCTTCTCTTGTCCCAAATTAGTTGTACCTCTGTATGATCTACTTCCTCAACAAATATCCCGACCCGTTAATTTGGCTTATCTCTTAACTCTAGTTCATACCCCTTTTGTCAAGATCCTTTATCACTTTATTCGTATAAATAAAATAAATTTATAATATTTCCTAATACATACAAGTACATACTTTTACTACTATACCTTAAAAAAAAAATATTTTTTTTGTTTTGTCTCTCTCTGTCCCACAGAACCACAAACAGAAACTGTCGAAATCACAACAATTTCCGCTTGTTATTCAAATATTTTCAACCTATCAACTAATCAATCTACCTCCCACCTTGACGTTGGCAGAATCATAGATATCCGATGGAGCCATTGAATTAAAAGAAGAAGAAGTTTTGAGACATATCTGCTGTCAAACGGTTGTTGTTGTGTTTTCGTCGATATTACGCAAAAATGTTTAGCCAAATGTATAAATATTATAATGTCAAGGATAACAATTGGTTAAGTAATGACAGAACGGGAAAAAAACGTGTTTTGTAAAAAAATGATTTTGTATCATTCTGCCCCACTAACGGGGCCATTAGATACATCATGAGAAGTACTTTAATACAAATTGAAAGTTGTATGTAATTTTTTAAATTATAAGATTTTCTTGAATTTTTTTTTTTTTTATTGTGAAGATATCATAATCAATCTTACAAATTACTTGTTACTTAACCAAATTAACAGTTTCGAATATTTTTAAGTCTTTAAAACAGAATTGCTAAAACTCCTATCTATCCTTTGAATTACAAATAAAACTCAAAAAGGAAAAAACAAAACAATCGTAAAACTCTTATATATACTATATTATTTGTATAATAAAGTTAATATTATTAAGAACGATCATATTGCACATTGTACGCACTTAAATCGTCTGAAAAAGTATACACAGATGATGTTCGAGCTGTGCCTTTTGTGAAATTTGGTTTAGGCAATTGTAAAACAACATCTCCAAAATCAATGCTTGCTTTGTCTTCCTTTTCTGGGAAAAGAAAAATATAAGCCCTAGGATTTTTTCTGAGATACACTTAATATTAAGTTAAATTATATTTAGAAATTACTTTAGCCATATAATGAACTACAGATTTCTTGTTTTCAAATTTAATAAGAACGAAATCCCCAATATTTATATTTTCCGGATTATTAACGTCAAACTCTTCTCCATCTTCTTCGTCTGACTCTTTATCATCATCATCATCACTTAATTTCAGCAACTCATTCGCACTAGGATCAGAATCTGACAATGGCTTCAAAGGAGCACAGACTTTCACATATTATGTTATTATTAATCTGAAAGCCTAACAGGCTATCCTTTGAAAGTGGTGAAACATTAAGAGGTGGAATAACATTTGCAGATGTATCAAAATCCGATCTATCATCTAATGGGTCTGTTTGTGTCTCGTCTATTTTACAGCTTTCAGCAATAATTTCATCATTTTTACTTCTTTCCGGCTCCACAAAAACGACTTCCTGTCTCTCTGTTTCCTGACTATTTTCTTTGTATTCTTCTTGAGAACTCTCCTTGAGAACGTCCCCAAATGCAAGTCGGTTGAATAGCCAAATTCCTGGCTTTGAAAAGCCGCTTGTGATGTTTTTGGGTGTAAAAGATTCCAAAAGGGCAGATTTAGAAAGTTCAGCTATGTTATAATATGGATAAAGTCTTCCCAATATTTTGAATGTGCCAATCATGAAAAGCTACTTTCAGTTTGCTTTTAAATGGAGCAAAAACGATGACATCCAGCGGTTGTAATTTGTGTGACGTATGTTTGGGCAAAGAAAGATAGATAATCCCATTCTCACAACAATAGTTGACAGCTGCAATAGAAATATGTGACTCGTGGTTGTCACAAATAATTAGAATTGGGTTATCGTTAGTGCACGAAATTTGGCGTTGAATATGTTGAAGAACTTGTGTTCGGTAAGAAACAAAGTAAACCAATTTCTTCGGTTTAAGAGCTGTATTTATCATAAAGGAGTTACAATAGTATTCGCTAGCCATCTTGTCAAGTATATAATAAAAACGGAAACGTCAATAGTGTCGGTCTGTCGGTCGGAGCATAGACAAAAAAGATGATCTATGATTGTTTAGTCGAGTCGCGTAAACGGCCCGAACGTCCTCCCGGGCGTTGAAAGACGTCGAGAAGGCGTCGAGGAGTCTTTCAAGAGCTTGCTGTTGGTAGCAGACATATGCGGTTAAGGACTCTGCGCACTAAACCCTGCGCAGTGTTGATATCCGCGACGCGTGGTAATCCGTCGGGTCCATAGAACAGCTTCTCCACTCTGCCAAGGTGCCAGCATAACGGAGGTGTAGAGTCTTCCTTGATTAGGACCAGATCATTCAACTTTAACTCTGCAGACTTGTTTCGCCATTTAGTCCGTTGCTGCAGTTCAGCAATGTATTCGTTCGACCAGCGCTTCCAAAAATGCCTGGGGTGCTCTAGGCGTCTGTAGCTGTCGAGACGATGAAAATTGGCATCTAGAAGACATGGTGACGGAAGCGAGGTAAGAGGTCTGCCGATCAGAAAGTGCCCCGGAGTAAGAGGAGTAAAATCATTGGGTGAAGGACTAAGAGGGCATAGAGGATGGCTGTTTATTTATTTATTTGGTCAGCCAACGATTATTACACTAAACATTACAGAATTGACTTAAAGACTAAACATGTGTGAGTGCAATAATCACTTACAGGCTAACACCACATGCACTTAAAGTAACGGTTTTACAAGTTTAAAATAAATAGGATATAGGTAAATTATTAATTTAACATGATTAAAAACAAGCATAACAACAAAACAACCATTAATTAATTAGCAATTAAATTAAATTAAATTAATTCCGTTTTTTTGTAAGGAAAGAAAATATTAAAATAACAATTCAGATGAAGTTCAATAAAATAATTTACAATTCATTCAAAGTGATTGTAAGTGTTTAGGATTGCCTCTACTTGGGTAAATACAGAAGATAGTTCCTCAAACGTTAGGTGAGTGGTTTTAAGGACTCTATTGATATGCCTTTTGGCTGCGGCGACTCCGGCCTCCCACAATCCACCAAAGCTAGGAGCGTATGAGAAGCGGAATTCAATCCCCCGACCAGGTGCAAAATCAATCAGAGTGTCTTTGTATAATTTAAACAAGTCTTTGATCTCTTTCTCTTTGGTCTTCCCTCTGAAGCGTCTACAAGTGAGGCACTCTCGATATACGCGTCTGGCTATATTTCGACCGCCTATAGGCCAGCAGCGCTCGCGTATTGAAGCGAGCATCTGTTTAGGTCCAACATGGAAAAGTCTGTTATGTTCATGCTGAAAAATCAGTTTAGTTAGGCGATTGTCGGATTTTAAAACGATAGAATGTCTCTTGTCATATGGATAGAAAGATGTATCGATTCGCCCACCAACTCTAAGAGTTCCAGTACCGTCTAGAAATTGATTGAGAGAAATTAGAGCAACATGTGATTTTAAAGGTTTTTCATTAGATAAGAGCTCTATCTCTTTAGAGAATGACTTACGCTGTGACATTTTTATTAGATGAGTCATGGCATTATGCCTTTCGTCGGTCGATAAGGGACCGGTAAGTTTGCTTGTAGGGTGTCTAGAGTTGTGTATAAATCTTAGCATTCTCGCTAATGTATTTTGTACGACAGGTAGGCTAGAATATTTATCTAAATCTATAAGTTCGCACGCTAGTGCAGCCTCTCCGACGAAAGCGGGTTGAGCTTTCAGTTCAGGTAAGTCGACCGAGCACAACGGCTCCACTGGCCACGCTTCTTCAGGCTGCGCTAGAAAACTAGGTCCATGCCACCATAAAGGATTGTGTATTTGATCGGGATCTACACCACGATTGACCAGATCAAATGGATTGTCCGATGTTCCAATCTTTCGCCATTGAGAATCCTCAGTGAGATCGTTGATGACCGCCACTCGGTTCGCAACAAATGCTTTAGTTTTGTTAGGAGACCTAATCCACCCTAAGACGACACTAGAGTCGGTCCAGTAGATCAGTCGTGAAATTGAATGTCTTAACGCTTGTACAACGGTATTTGTTAACTGACAGCCAAGAACAGCGGCACAGAGTTCCAGCCTGGCACAAACTAGAGAAACGTTGATGTTACCTTCAACATCAAGGGATCTCGAGTAGATTGTAGAACCATATGCCTTTTGAGATGCGTCGTTGAAACAGTGAAGTTCTATGGTAGAGAGATTATCAATTAGTACGCATCTCGGAATTTTGAGCGTAGAGAGCCTTGAAAGTTTATCTGTAAATTTTAGCCAAGATTGTGCTACGTTGTGGGGTACCGGTTCATCCCAGTCTAGTTTGAGGCTCCATAAATGCTGGAGCAACATTTTAGGTTTGATTGTACACAGAGACAGAAGCCCAAGTGGGTCAAAGATTTTGAAGGTCGATGATAGTATCGAGCGTTTGGTCAAAACATCTGGCTGCGAATATTGAATGTCGAAAGTAAATTCATCAGAGGATGGTGTCCAGCCTACACCTAAGGTGCTAGTAGCGTTGCTGATCATGAGGTTGCGATCCTCAAGATTGATGGAAGTTGCAGACAGTAGATCCGGTAAGTTGGAACGGTATTTACGGAGATGGAAACCATAATCAGCTAACTCGGTAGAAACTGATTGCTGGATGTATAGCAAATCAGCTTGAGTTTCGGCACCGGTAAGCAGGTCATCACACATAAAATCCCCCTGAATGATTTCCCTTATAAGGAGTCAGTGCATTCTTGACCGACTTGGTATATGCATCGTGTAGCGAGAAAGCTCGCACTAGCGAAACCGTAAGTTACTGTGTTTAATTGAAGGGCTTGTATATGATCAGCTTCATGCTCTCGCCACAAGATTTGTTGAAGATAATGATCTAACTCTCTCACATAAACAGCTCGAAACATCTTCTCGATATCTGCGCAGAACACGTATTTGTGTTGTCGAAAACGTACAAGAATATTAAAAAGGGACTCCTGAATACACGGTCCAACCATCTGTAGGTCGTTGACTGCAACGCCAGAAGTTGTCTTGGAATTTGCCTCGAAAACAACACGCGTTTTAGGAGATTCGCTAGTTTCCTTTACAACAGGATGGTGCGGTAGGTACTAGGCGTTTGATGTAGGTTGGTAGGCAGTTTGCTTAGGTGACCGAGAGCCTCATACTCACGTATGAAGTCGGTATAAGCTTTTTTAGTTTTAGGTTGTTTGCGAAAGCGAGCTTCTAAGCCCATTAGGCGCTTCTTAGCTAAGCTGTAGGAGTCTCCTAATGCAATGGCGTCCCCGCGAAGAGGTAAAGCCACACAGAAATGACCATCAGGAGTACGTGTAGTATTAGCCATAAAGTGTTGTTCGCATAGTTTTTCCTCGTTAGTGAGGGCTTTGGTTTGTGGGAAATTTTCTAGCTCCCAGAATTTGGACAGTTCGTCTTGTAAGTTAGATTGTGATTTGTCCCTTAAAAGAAAGTTGCACAGTACCTTTCTAGTCTCGCTGATAGGTTTAGGATTAAAGATAGGTCCAGCTATAAGCCAACCAAGCTTAGAGCTTCTTAGACTAGGATTTTTCGGCCCTAGGGAATGTTGGTTTGAACCTATAATGTCCCAGAACAAGTCTGCTCCGATGAGCATATCAATCGGACCTGCCCGGTTGAAGTCTGGGTCAGCGAGTTGGTACTTGGATAGAGATAGGTGCTGGATACCGAATGATGGCAAGACAAGGCAAGACACTGCGACGCTAAACTCGTTATCGCCGGATTGTAGCTGTATAGCGCAGCGTTCTTTAGTGATTTTTAGTGGTGTATTACCGATACCGACTACCTCAGTATTAGACGACTGGAGTGAAAGGTTGAGTCTTTGCACTACAGCTTCGGTTATGAATGTAGACTGACTTCCACAGTCAAGAAGAGCACGCACTACGGCTGTCTCCCCGGATATAGGATTAGTCACCTGAACTTTGGCGGTACATAATAATACCTCAGGCGATGATTGAATAGACATGGATACTGACTCACCCACAGTAGGTGAGTTGTTAGGTATAATGGACTTACAGAGGAGAGTGCTGTGTCGCCGTTTGCAGACACGACAAAAAACTAGCAGCTTGCACTCTAGGGCCTTATGGCCAGCCTTTAAGCAGTTTATACATAGGTTGTGGGAGGCTATTATTTGATCAGCACGGGACCCTTTCCTTCCGGCTGACGCAGGTGCTTTCCGGGCACGGTTGCTTCGGAAAGTACCTGTACTCGATCGCTAGGAGGGAATAGAGTCCCGCCTGCCACCACTGCGACTGCAGTGAGGACTCGGCCCAGCACACGCTGGCGGTCTGCCCCGCATGGGCGACGCAGCGCCGGGCCCTCACTGCAGTCATCGGATCGGATCTCTCGCTACCGGCCGTAATTCGCTCCATGGCCGGTAGCGTCAGTGTTTTTACCGCGGTCGCAACCTTCTGCGAGGAGGTTATCTCGCAGAAGGAGGCGGCGGAGAAGGCCCGGGAGGACGACCTCCTTTCGGACCCGATCCGCCGCCGGCGAACCGGGCGGAGGAGGCGCGCTCACCTGCGCCTCATACCGCCCTGAGGGTGGCCGCGGGTGGACGGGATGGGTTCTCCCCTCCACCCGCATTAGTTTGGCCAGCCGCGAGGGGGCGGCGTCCGCGTGTGCCGGACGTCGCCTAAAGATCGGAAAAATTTGGAGACGGAGCCCGCAACAGGAGCGGGCCGGCGCTGGGAGGGGTCCAGAAAGCGATAACTACCTGGACGTCCCGCCGAACGAGAGCCCCGGCGGGGTGACGGTCCGAGGGGATTTCCGTTAAAAAAAAAAAAAAAAAAAAGCTACTATTTGATGCCTTTCGTCCACAGGCTTGTCCTTAAAAGCGGCACATTCGAAAATGCGGTGATCGCCCTTGCATGCTGCACAATGCAGCTTGGAACTGAAATGAGAGGATTTTTTTTCCTTAAGCGAGGTGGTAACTAATGCTTTAGTTTGTTGACCCCTGTGGTTATAGGTAGGATTATATTTTAGTTTATCAGGTTTATCCTGTTTGGATCGCTGGTATGAAGTTTCAAGCACGTCAGCACGGCTCTTGAGAAATGAAAAGAACTGATCTAAGGTGGGTATGTCAGGTAAGTGATTTCTATGTTCTTCCTACTTGATGTAGGTATTGTTATCTAGCTTATTCACGATTTGATAGATCATAAGCACATCACATTTATCGGTAGGCAAATCCAAGCTATTTAGAGCTCGCAGGTTCTTTGTAATGTGGTCAATAATAAACCGTAGAGACTTGTCGGTTTCACGAACTGAGTCAATGTTGAAAAGCGACTTTAAATGGTTGTTGATCAACTGACGTTTATTGTCATAGCGCTCACACAGAATCTTCCATACCTCATGGTAGTTTAGATCAGAAATCTCAAGGTTAGAAATTACTCGAGCTGCCTCACCCTGTAGGTAGGAGCTCAAGTAGTGAAACTTGTGTACATTTTTAATAGTATCATTTTGGTGTACCAAAGATGTAAAAATGTCTTTGAATTCGATCCACTTGTGGTAAGATCCTTCGAAGGTAGGAATTTTTATTTCTGGTAGGCGAAACCCCAGCATATTGCCAGCATTATGCGAATTATGACAGCACGATTGATGAGAAGAAGAGTTATGGTTAGGCGTTGAAGTGTTACCTTTCTCTAATAATGTTTTTGCAAAGGCAATGGAATGGTAAAAATCTGTTTCAACTGAGTCGCGTATAGCTAGCTCAGCCTCTAGTTTATCTACGCTTAAAATTTCTATTTGATTTTGCACCTCATCAAATTCAATGAACAACGCCTCAAATCTTGATAGTTTCATCGCAAGCTTGCTTAGTTCAATTGCAGAAATATTTTCTAATGTATCTAAAACATCTAAACTATTTTTAAATTTAGTCACGCGTCCCTTAATGGAACTACGCTTCGCGCTTAACTCCTTTAAACTATCCTCCAACATGCTTGCGACCAAACGCAATCAAAGATTAAGTTATTGATAAGAATGTAAACAAACTTGCACACGACACGCTCCCTGCTTTGTTTTACTGTGGGTAGCGCGCTCACGCAGGCAGGTGCGGGATGCGAGCAGAGCGGTTTTGAGCGAAGGATGTCATGCAGCACTGGTATAGATTGGTGTGACAAGCTTAGAAACAGTTTAGAAGCAGCTACTTTGTGCTGGAGGGCTATAAAGGGCAAGCTATGTAGTTATTTATAGTTGTAATTGACTCGGGATAGGTTATTATGCATAAATACTCGTTACATAAAAAGGTAGGCTAATGGCAAATGTAGTTATTGTGACAAAATGTTCAATGGGATAAAGCTAGTACACTTGGTAGGTAAAATATTATTTAGGTTGAATATAGGTTGTAATTAATGGTTAACAAGACATTACAATGACGTGCATTTGGGGTTTTAAGTACCTATTAACGAACTGTCGCTTAACATGGATGCGATGCTATGGGGCAAAAGTATAGGTAGGCATAGCATGGCTAGAACAAGGCAACAGCTATTAAAATAAGTAACCCAAGTAGAAGGGTATTAGGTAAATAGGTAAAGGAACGGGCTCACTATGTAGGGATGGTCCGCTTCGGCACGTTGACCTTGGTCACGCATACGGCTTGAATTGCGCGGCAACGCTCGCACGCCAGGCACGTTTATCAGCTCGGCGCGGCTTGTTGTCTGGACCACTTGCGTCTTGAGCCGGTTTTCGTAGAAAGACGTGCGTCGCGTCGTATGGTGGACGCCACGCGGTTGCACGTGTCGTCATGTAGGCTACTTCATCTCGAAGTAACCTGCTTGGTATTTGATTGCAGGTCCTGTCACGGTCGCCAGTTTTTGTTCGGTAAGGAACAAAGTAAACCAATTTCTTCGGTTTAAGAGCTGTATTTATCATAAAGGAGTTACAATAGTATTCGCTAGCCATCTTGTCAAGTATATAATAAAAACGGAAAGAAGAAAGAAGAGGAAAGAAGTGTCGGTCTGTCGGTCGGAGCATAGACAAAAAAGATGATCTATGATTGTTTAGTCGAGTCGCGTAAACGGTCCGAACAATTATTAATTATAAAAATAACATTAATAATAATTTTTAAAACTAATACATTTTGTCATTGTTATAGTTTCTTTTCACATTAAGAAGACTATAACAACGGTCAGTTGCTTTGACAACAATATCATCTAGCCTTACACCTGCTGCACATGAGACAGGCTAGAACAAAGCAAAAGACTTCAGCAGTTCAACTCAATCAGTTCACCACAATTACATCGTGTGTACATATTTCCTTAGGATATCAATATACATAGAGGACAATTTTGGAGTCAAAACCACATGTTACATATTAATTATTATTAATAATATTCAACAATAAGAAAATACATAAGAAAGTTAATCATTGTTAGGCACTACATCTTCGTCAACCCATTCACCTGGCCATAGCCGCAATTTATCTTTAGCTACAGTAATGTTCCTTAAATTACGAATCCCTCTAAGTGAATAACTATCCTTGGGGAGGATAGCAGTTATTTCATATGGTCCCTTGAATCTGGGAATGAGTTTATCATGCCTCCGATGATCTTGATTTACATATACTATATTGCCAATCTCAAAAACCTTATTGTCTCGTCTTACAATGTCAAATCGAGTTTTGAATTTTTTTTTTGTTCATTGTAGCTTTGATGGAATTGCAATCGGTAAAAATTTTAAATTTAAGACCTAATAGATATACTCTAAAATGCTTTAATGCGTTGTAGATTGCTAAAGTTTCCAAATCATAAGAGCAATACTTAGACTCTGCGGGTGAAGTTCTTTTACTAAAGTAGGCTACGACTTTCTTGACATTTTCTTCTCTTTGTACTAGTATTGCTCCATATCCTAATGAACTGGCATCAGTGTAAAGTTCTGTCTGCAATTTTGGATCGAAAACAGTAAGCAAGGGTTTCGTGGACAAATGTCTTATAACATAATCCCTAGCCGCATCCTGTTCGGGATACCATTCCCATTTTGTGTTATTTTTGGTCAAATTGGTGATACAAGATGTGCGAGTAGCAAAAGCCGGAATGAATTTGCGAAAGTAACTTGCAAGACTTCTTCATCTTGTGATATAGTTCGACCTAGATACTCAATGCTTTCAACAAAAAACTTACACTTTTTTAGATTTATAGTAAATCCTGAATTGCATAAAGCCTGAATAGTCAGCTCTAAATATTGAAGACCCTCCTCTATGGTTAAAAAAGGAATAAGAATATCATCTATGTATACTAAAATAAACTTTAAGTGATGAACAGCTTTTGTGATGGCTCTTTGAAACACAGACGGTCCATTACAAATACCAAATGGCATTTTCAGAAATTCGTAATGGCCATCCGGTGTAACAAAAGCCGTGTATTTTATAGTAGACTCTATTCTGATGAAACGGGAATTTGGTAAAAACCATTTTTCATATCTATAGAAATAAGAATTTTGCTTTACCTAGCATGTCTATTTGTCTTCAATGAGAGGGAGTGGGTATCTATCCTTTTCTACAATTCTATGTAATGATCGATAATCAACACATAATCTATCGCTGCCATCTTTATTCTTTACTAAAATTACCGGATTTGCAAAAGAGGAGTCACTTTCACGGATTTTGTTTTGTTTCAAAAGGTCTTGAACAATTTTATTAACCTTCTCTCTCTATCAGTGCTAGGCGATATGGACGGTAGTTAACTATCACATTTTTAACCAAACTTAATCTTAATTCGCCGGTTTTCACAGTACTAGTTTCATCCAAGACAGAAGGGTATTTTGTGAAAATATTTTTTATTCTTTCTTGTAATGCTGAATCTAAATGTTTGATTTTAGAAGTTAATTCACTTAATTCGGTCGAAGTAGTGCATATGTTTACTTCTGCCTTGGTTTCAACCGCCTTTCTAGAGAAACGGCTTCCTAAAGAATCGGTGATAATCTCTACATATTGGTACTTGACAGCGTTTCTACCTATGAGTAGATTGTAATGAAAATCATAATCCCTGACAACATGTACATCAAGTTCTATACTAACACCTTCACATTGAATGACCACAGTAATTACAGCAAAAGCATGGATTTTATTAAGTCCTATTCCTCTTAAATACATGGATATTGGTGAAAAATGGCATCCGAGTCGTTTTGCAATTGATTCTCTTATTAAACTACAATTTGCTCCTGTATCTATCAAGGAATCAATGGGTATACCATTAATAAAAATACGTGTCAGATTTAGTTTGGCTTTTCTAAAAAATTGACTTCCTTAGTAGGGACGACAGTTATTGAAGCAGCGCTGGATGATTCTGCTCGCTGCTTATAATAGCAAACTGCCTCGGTATGGCCAACCCTTTTGCAATAAGTACAGATTTTCGTACGAAATTCAGTAGGTTTAAGGGAATTGTGGAGTTTTATTAAGAATCCTTGAAGAAGAGTGACCTGACTTACTTTTTGGACACTGAGATTGCAAATGGCCGACTTGATTACAAGCAAAACATTTCCTTTCGCCGTTGAGCTTTAGGCGTTTTGCTGATAATGGGCCCGAATCAGTGTTTTCTAAGGATCTCTTTTGGTTTTTACGTATATTTATTTATTTATTTGGAAACTTAATAGCTATGTTACATATATCATGGGTGAAGTTAAACATTTTTTAGACTCTTAGCCAATAATAAAGTTTCGCGACAAGTAAAAGAAAATTGCGTGCACCACTTAAACATAGGCAATTGTACGTATTATATACTATCTATAATTTAATTTATATTAGGTATATTGTGCAGAGTGAGAAGTATTCATAAAGAAAGCAACTTACAAAAACAATCTTAATTTGGACTCACAAGTATGATTGCAACTTTTTAGTTATTTGTCTTTTAAATGCACTTTTTGAGAGGTGGAAGATGTCGATCTCGTCAAAATTAATATTGTAACAGATGGGACTAATCCCACCCACACGCCCACCACTGTAACTCCTGTACACCAGGATCCACAGCAGTGACCCACGAACACACCGAGTTATGACACTCGGGAAGTCCCAGGAAGAAATTAAACTGTCTTGGAACCCGCAACGAAATTAATCAGAAGAAAATTGGAGGAGTTGGAAATACAGTAAATCCACTTCCCTCCTTAGCAAAGCGGGAGACAAAATGAAGTAAAAATGGGCATACACCCTTTTAAACAGGGAAGCACCACGGCCACAAATATTACGGGTCCTACGTAAGCTATGTTTGATTTCTATAATATGTATGGCAGAATCGCCTAAACGCACGGAAATTCACCCTAGTTGACACAAGATCCCCATAGTATACCGCCCCAGATGTCACCTGCAAGCTATTCAGCATTATATTACGTTCATTATACCAAAGACTACATTCCCAGAGGATATGATGAGCAGACTGTTCATAGTGAGAGTTAGGTGTTGAGCATTGACACAGTGGTGACTCGACTAATTTAAATGAATAAAGCTTGCTCTTAAAGTTACCATGACCCGTAAGAAATTGAGCGACACAGTGATCCACCTCAAGCCATATCCTCGACAACCGTTCGCGAACAGATGGAAAGAATTGGTAAAGATGGCGCCCCTTGGATGATTCATCCCAGCGTTGTTGCCATTCGTCTATGAGGTCGTTATAGACATCGGGCTGCTGTTGAAGCAATCTTGTAATTTTACCGCGATCCCGCGCGCCTAAAAAATCGCATTCCATGTTTTGTTGTCTTGAATAGTACATGGCTGCACGTCTCTGCACCTCGAGATCGACCGGAAGCACACCCGCCAACACCGGCAAAGCCTCAGTGCTAACCGTCCTATATGCCTTACACAAGAATATCAGTGCAAGTCGTTGGCCTTGTAACAGTTTGCGACGGACAGCGCCTACGGTCGCCCTATCGGCCCATACAGGTGCACCATAGCACATAGAACCTAAATAAGTAGCTCCGTATATGATCTTTAATGTATTAAATGATAGACCCCATGTCGCAGTTGATATCCTTGTCAATGCACAGAAACTCTTTTTAGACTTTTCATTAACTATTTTAATATGTTCGATAAATGAAAAGTTTCTTTCTAAAACTAATCCTAGATAACACACTGTGGTTTTATTTTTTACAGTAACATTGTTAAATCTAATGCTCGGCGGTGATTTGAGGTTACCTTTTAAAAGTAGCTGGAAGGTTTTGTTGGGTGCAAAAGTTAAGCGATTACGTTCACCCCATTGAGATATCAAGTTCAAACATCTATTGGCTAATCTCTCAAGCCCCGCCCTAGTATCAGATTCCACCAGTAATAAGCCGTCATCAGCATACGCGTTCAGAGTACATCCGGATGGTATTGGTATCGCAAGAAAATCGTCGAAGCCGATATTCCACAAGTATGGACCTAGCACCGATCCCTGAGGACATCCCATTGTAAGCGCCTTCGACACAGAATGATGACCAAGTCTTAGTTTAGTTGTACCTTGTGAAAAGTACGAAGAGATAAGGGAATAAATATTTTAAAGCACCCCCGTGATTTTAATTTCAGCAACAGCATGGGCCACCATGCGTTGTCGAAGGCGCCAGATATATCTAAGAAAATAGCCAGCACGTATTGAAATTTTGACCCTGTGACAAACTTTCTAACCGATATAACAGCGTCAGTTGTTGATTTACCCAACGTAAATCCAAATTGTCTATCATGAAATTTGACTCCACCTGGCAGAAGCCGGGGCACTACAAGACGTTCTAAAAGCTTTCCTAACGATGGTAACAATGTGATTGGTCGGTAGGATTTAGGATCATCCGGTGGCTTGTCGCCACTTTTTGGTATTATACGAATATTACCGCACCGCCATATACGAGGAAATATTCCTTCAGCAATGCAACGTTTAAAGACAGTGAAAATCGTGTCACCCGAAAGTTTACAAGCTTCTTTTATCATTTTGTTAGATATTTTATCATCGCCCGAAGCCTTGTTTAGCGGCAAGGATCTAATGATACCGAGAAATTCGTCTGAAGATGGTAAATCAGACATTGGAGATTGTGGTGGTTCGATGGCCCACTGCCTGATCTGTCGGTGATGACCAGTGTCGTTCTCCGGTCGATCGTCAGGTACGAGTGAGTCTAAAAGATATTCTGCTGTTTGTTCTACTCCTGTGGTATATCTGTTATTAATTTTGATGTTCTGTATGTATGCAAGGTCGATTGATCTATTTGCTTTAAATTCGTGATACAAAGGTGACCACGGGCCCTCTCTATCGAGTTTATCAACAAGTTTCTGAATTAAGTTTCCCTTGGATTTTTCCACAGCAGCTCTGTAGTGGGACCTGGCAACTCTAAGAGCAATGAGAGCATTGTTGTACAAATCTCCTGTTACGTTATGTTTTTTAATAGTGTTTAATTTTCTACGAGCTTTCCGGTAGCTTCTACGTAGTTCGGCTAATCTATCATTCCACCAATCACATCTACGAGTGTTAGTGATAGATCCGCGACCAATAGTTACATCAGCGCAGTATGTAAAAGTTTCTGATAGTATTTCTGCGCTTTCCTCAGCTGATAAACTACTGCGACTGAAGTCTTTGGTATGAGTTGCAAAGAGTGAACCAAACAAAGCCCAGTTCGCACCTTTAGTTTTATATCTAAAATTATAGGGAGCCTCTTGTGGATCCTGTGCAACCCTTGGTATGAATTCGTACACGATCAAGCGGTGATCACTACAGGATGCGTCCGGAAGGACACGCCATCCGGATATTGTAACAGATAGGCAAACGAGTGAGAACAGAATTCTTAGCATAATTGGTGCGGTGCAGAGGAACACTGAACAGGCGCGTATGTCTAGTACGAGCCCCGGGTGCATTCAAGCTAATATTAGAGAGAAGTTCGATACTATCAATTTCACCTCGAATGATGGCGAACAAAAAGTTCATGTCTAGTAACACACGCCTACTAGATAGAGGCAGCAGATCATAGTGCTTGCAGTCCTCAAGATATGATAAATGTCGTCTCCTTGTCTTAAAATTTAGATGTCTCACGAAACGTTTTTGAATTCTCTCAATTTTATCTGTGTATGTAACATATTGGGGAGACCAAACAGGACTGCCATAGTCAAGTACACTTTGCACGTATGCGCGGTAAACAGTTTTAAGGCAGTTGATATTCCTAAAGGGGAATGCCCATTTTCGGCCATGAAACGCACAACAATTTGCTTTTTTTAGAAAATAACATCTTATTTTCTGTTTATTAATTGGGGTATTCATTTATCCTGACAGGTCTGCAACATTTAAACAGAAAATAAAAGCACCGAAAAGATAAAAGTGAAATTACGTTAATCCGTATTTCATTGGTTTTTGGCAAAATATTAAGTGTTCCCAATTACTAATTTCGTTCAAAAAATCGATTATTTATGAAGCGATTATTATTATTTATGATGTCGGCTGTGTTTGGAAGAAAATAGCGCTAGGAAGCGCTTGTAAGCAAAATGGCGATCGCTAAGCGGAAAGCGCTGTCAAATGACACATATATTTTACTATATTTTGGACTGACATTATTATTTATTTTAATATTACTTGCACAAAACATCTTATAAATTCTACTTTTAAAACAAACAAAATAAATAAGCAAAATGGCGGATTGCAGCTACTGAAGTTAGAAAACGTGTCCTGGCCGAAAACTGTGTCAGCGCTAGTAAGCGCTTCCTAGCGCTATTTTCTGCCAAACACAGCCATTATTTTATGGCTATATTATTCGATTTTCGGTAATTATTATGATTTCATTGTGTTAGTGCTAATATTATTTATTTATTTATTGTTTATTTTAGGCATAATCGCCCATAAGGATGTAACAAAAGTTAAATTAAATTAAATTAATTTAAACTAATACACAAAAACTTCATACGCAAAACCCTTAAATTAATTTTTCAGCAGATAAACACGGCGGAATACAACAGATACTAACTGATTACCATAATCAAGTCAGGAAAGATGCATTGAGTCTTCTCAAGAGCCCGTAAAATAAATTAATATTCCTTATTTCGTTAATGATTATGATGTTACGATAATAATATAAGCGAATTGCTAGTTGAATTACCATAAACTCTTTAAATCATAGCAAAGACGCTACTGTACAATTTAATTGTCATTCTTATCTGTTCTTAAAAATACTTTTAAGATCTAATAAAATACATTAATATAGATAGATAGATATAATTTAAAAAAAACTAAAAGGCGTACAGAATTTAAAGGCACCTCGTAGATTATTATTTCATATGAAATTATATTTTACAAATAATTGATAACCATTTCCGATTTTATGGCTGTTAAGTGGCAACATCGAATGCAAGGACACAATCTGTCACCATTACGTGAAATCACAACTTCATTTGCACTTCTATTATTTGTTTGTTTTCTTACAATACCACTAATAAGCTTTCTAAATGGACTTCGACAATTTTTCTTACCCTACTGACCACGGCCTGAACATGGATCCCGCTCCCGCTTCTCACGATAACTCCCGCACGAACTTGGACTCAATATCCATTGAAAATGATGACCCCAGCTCTCACACCGGCCAGAGTTCTTCACAGCCCACAGTAAATCTTTCAAGAGGACATTCACGCTGTGTCAATTGTGGTATAAACGTCACACAGATGCGAAGACATTTGTTGGAAATAGAAGAAGTTCGAAATCTAATACAACAATGGGTTCGACCACAGTTGTTGTTTAGCCCAGTGGGCTGCATTGTTCTAACCATTTATCTAGTTTAATTTGATTTCGTATACTTCATTTATGGTTTAATTATTGTTTCAGTTGCAAATACTAGAAATAGTTCATCAGAATATGGAAACAAGACACAAATGGTGTATGATCATAAAATACCTAAGAACTACATATAACTTGATATTGTATGTGAGAATAACAATAAAATGATGAATAAGAAAAAATTGGAGTTATTTCTGAAAATTAAAATCATTTTATATCTTAAAAATCCCGACTTTTTTTAATACTAATTCCTTAAACATTTCATTCTTTAAATTGTATATTATCCTTTCCATATGCTTTTATATGTGTGCACCTAGGGCCAAAGTGTCTATGGGGAGTGGGCATTCCCCTTTAGCGCACGTACGCATAACGAAGCCTAGATTTCTGAATGCCTTACTGGTAATGGTGTCTATATGACGAGAAAAAAGCATTTTGGAATCCAACACCACCCCCAGGTCTCTTACATGATCTACCCTAGCGATAACATTATCACCGAATTTGTATGTGTACTTGATAGGACTTCTACGACGACTAAAACTTATGCACTGACATTTATCAATGTTAACCGTTATTTTATTGCGTTTATAATATGAGAACAATGCGTCCAGATCCCGTTGCACCAACTCACAGTCAAGTGTAGATTTAATTTTGAAATATATCTTTTTATCATCAGCATACATTAGATGCCTCGAATTATCAAAACACTTGTCTATGTCATACAAGTAAGCACAATAGAGAAGAGGCCCGAGGTGAGACCCCTGCGGTACTCCAGAGGAGATATTGATGAAATTAGATTTAAAGCCCCCCATAGTTACAGCTTGTGAGCGGTTCGTTAAGTACGACCTAATCCAACGCAATAAGTCTCCATGGATTCCTAATCTATATAATTTTGCCTGAATATGTCGCTGAAGTAATATGTCATGATGAACGCGGTCAAACGCCTTTTCAAAATCTGTATAAATAGCGTCAACTTGCCCAATGGACTCCATCCCACACAACACATAATCACAGAATAGAGCAAGGTTAGAGTTATTGAAACGACCCCTCACAAAACCATGCTGAGTATCTGGGATGCTCTGTGAAATGATAGGGTAAATGTTGTCGTATATAATTTTTTCGAAGATCTTACTTATTATAACAAGAATAGATATAGGACGATAATTTTTAATCAGTGACCTTGATCCTTTTTTATGGATAGGTATTATATGCGCTTTTTTCCACATGGACGGAAATATGCAATCCCGTAATGATTTTCTGAATATCAAAAATATAGGATATGACAGATTTTTAGCACATTTTGATAAAAGTATAGCAGGTATTCTGTCATAGCCGGGGCCTTTTGTCTTGTCGAGTGACGTCAACAAGTTGAGAACCATATCTTCCATTATATCTATTCCCGACAAAACATTAAGCCGAGTATCACAATCTGTACCAGACATGGTCTCAGAACCATCACAAGGCACATCGTTAAACACACTAAGAAAAAAACTGTTGAAAGCTAAGCAAACGGCCTGTCCTTCAGTAAAAGTAGCACCTTCCGATGTAAACTGGTTAGGGTATAGACTGCCGCCTCTCTTTGATATGATATTGAAAGAAGAGAGATAAGAGCAGCAGTTGTTGTTACGCTACTATTTAGAGAGGCCATCCTTACATCAACATCACTAATACCCCCACAAATTAATTCGATCAATTGTTCATCGGTTAAGGCGATTTTAGTGTTCCGAAATAACCTCAGTTTTTCTCTCGCATATTCTCCGTTAGAGTCCGCGGAGTCTGAATTATATAATACTGCCTTACTGAGTTTTTCGGACAAGTTTTTCCTTTCAGGAAAGGCATCGATGATATCAGCATGAAATTTTTCCCAGGATCTGCCTTCCGAAGGTTCCCATGATTCGAACCACGTCAAGGCAGAACCCTTCAGGGCCTTACCAGCTTTAGCTGCAGTCTTTATACTGCTCCACTTCAATTCCGATGCAAGTGTCTCGATACTGCAGCACCAGTTCTTGGCTCCACAGTCGTTTTTATCCGGGTCAAATAGTGGCAGAGCGATGTCATCATCCTTTTGATGTGTTGTAGAGACAGCGTCCCGGATCGCCTTGAGGAGTTCACTGATAACTTCAGAATCCATCCTAAAATAAAATATTTATTACTAGGAGCTGGAAATATCCCACTTCTGATGTTAGATTTTTGTTAATATACCCAGTTGGGATAAAAGTCAAGGAATAAATACTGAAAGTCAAGAATGAGTTTAAACTAGAAATTTATTAATAAATAAATATATGTAAGTAGTTTTGATTATTAATTATTCAATGTTTTAAAGTAATTATTTTAGCTTCTCGAATGAGCGATGTTATAATTAAAATGATAGATTAATGCTTTAAATTTACTATTATTTATTATCATAACAACTACTAGCATTATTAGTAATTTATATAAATAATCAATTTAATACCAATAACATTGCTATTTATATATTTACTTCTTAGTTACAACAAACACTAACATTATACATTATACTAATGTCAATGCCAATCTTCCCTAAAATAACTTAAAAAGCTAATAAATACTAATGTACAGACAAAACACAAATATTACACGTTATACTAATGTCAATGCCTGTTTACCATAAAAATAACGTATATAGCAAAAAAAAAAAAACTGTACTTAACTTATGTATCGATGTACCGTTCCGTAGCTGCCACACAACTGAACTGCCAACGTTTTACCCTACCATATTAGTAGTTTGAAAAAAATCAAAAATCAATCAGTACAACTTCCGTTAGCAATATTCATATAAAAATAATTTAAAGTTGATAAGTGCAAAATAAAAATAGGTTTCTAAATTAATAATTGTTTACAAAATAAGTATATCTTGTCACACGCACCACTGACGGATATCAGTCATGACATAGACAACTTCACTATACACTGTTAACCACAAAGTATTGACACTAGGCTCAGTGCTCCCATCTGAATAAATGAGAAAATCATTCATTCTCCGACAGGGCCATTCTGCAAATCAACGCGCTCTCGCGTTGCCCGTCTACTTCACAAAATAGGAAAGTAGACACCATTGGTTTCCACAACTCACCTGTACCACAGGCAGGTCTATGAACACGGACTAGTACTGAATCTTAGAGTGGCAATCATAACTCTACTAATGTGCTAAGCTCGAAAATTTTAGCAGTCATCCGTACAAAGAGAGAAGAATCAATCCGTATTTTGAGCAAAGCGTAAAAGCTTTCAGCACTTCCTCTGAATAAAGCGTTACGAATTTAAGTCCAGTTCAACCAATATCTTTCAGCCAAACCCTCGGACAAAGTGTCATAGCTTTCAGTCAAGTCTTCAGACAAAGCGTTTAAGTTTTCAGTTAAGTTCTTAGGCAAAGCGTTAATGCTTTCAGTCAAATCTTCAGACAAAACGTAAAGCTTTCAGTCAAATCTTCAGACAAAGCGTAAAGCTTTCAATCAGATCCTCAGACAAAGCGTAATAGCTTTCAATCAGATCTTCAGACAAAGCGTAACAGCTTTCAATCACATCTTAAGACAAAGCGTTACAGCTTTCAATCAGATCTTCAGACAAAGCGTAACAGCTTTCAATCAGATCTTCAGAAAAAGCGCAACAGCTTTCAATCAGATCTTCAGACAAAGCGTAACAGCTTTCAATCAGATCTTCAGAAAAAGCGCAACAGCTTTCAATCAGATCTTCAGACAAAGCGTAACAGCTTTCAATCAGATCTTCAGACAAAGCGTAACAGCTTTCAGTCTAGTTATCAGCCAAAGCGTAATAAGCTTTAGGGGTGTAATGTGTGTAATAAAACACATTCTGTTTACTAAGTCACAATCAACTTTAACTCAAAACTCCTCACCTCAGCAGAACCTTTTTTTTTTTTTTTTTTTTAACGTGTGGAAATCCCCTCGGACCGTCACCCCTCCGGGGTTTGCGGCGGGGTGGTGTGTCGGACTCGGACCGACTAAAACCACACGGTGTGCCACTCTGCGCCTGTAACAGGAGGGATCCGGGAACAGGTGTTATTAAGACATCCGGACCCCTCCTAGCGCCGGCCCGCTTCTGTTGCGGGCCCCATCTCAAAATTATCCTCTCTTTAGGCGACGTCCGGCACACGCAGACGCCGCCCCCTCGCGGCTGGCCAAACTAATGCGGGTGGAGGGGAAACCCACCCCGTCCACCCGCGGCCACACTCAGGGCGGCATGAGGCGGTGATAGGCGCGCCTCCGCCGCCCGGTTCGCCAGCGGCGGATCGGGTCCGAGTGGAGGTCGTCCTCCCGGGCCTTCTGCGAGATTACTTCCTCGCAGAAGGTTGCGACCGCGGTAAAACAACTGTCGCTACCGGCCATGGAGCGTACTACGGCCGGTAGCGAGAGATCCACTCCGATGACTGCAGTGAGGGCCCGGCGCTGCGTCGCCCATGCGGGGCAGACCGCTAGCGTGTGCTGGGCCGAGTCCTCACTGCAGTCGCAGTGGTGGCAGGCGGGACTCAGTTCCCTCCTAGCGACCGAGTGCAGGTACTTTCCGATGCAACCGTGCCCGGAAAGCACCTGCGTCAGCCGGAAGGAAAGGGTCCCGTGCTGCCGCCCTGCCCACTCGGCGATGAAAGCCGGCTGGAAAGCCTCCACGGCGGCGAAGCCAGCGCGTGGAGTCTCCAGCCGGAACGACCAACGAGCCATCGTGGCTCGGCGAGCGGCTTCGCGCCACTCGCGCACATCCTCGGGCGGAGGGCGAAATCCGCTCTCCGCCCGGGAGTCAGCCACTCGCCGATAAACTTCGGCGAGCACTTCCGCCTCCAAATCCCACGGGGGAGTTCCGGCCAACGCGCATGCCACCTCCGTCGAAACGGTGCGGTAACCGCGTATGGCTCTGACCGCCATTACCCTCTGAATGCCCTATTCTGGGCGGTCAGAGCCGCCGCCCACACCGGTGCACCGTACAGTGCCATTGACCGGACAACCCCCGTGTACAGCCGTCTTGTCGCGACGCTGGGTCCACCCAAATTGGGCAAAAGTCGCCCTAGGGCAGACGCAGCGCCGACCAGCTTTGGAGCAAGCTGTCGGAAGTGCTCGTCGAAGAGCCACCTCCCGTCGAGGATCAGGCCCAGATATTTCATCTGGGCCCGAACCGGTACGAGGACCGAGTTGACCACGATTAAGGCGCCAGGGGGTGGACCACGACGGGGCCCATGAAATAACAGGGCCTCCGTCTTATTTAGGGCCACCCGTAAGCCCAGCGCCTCAATGCGCCCGACCACCAGGGAGACTCCCCTTGTGGCCAGGCGCGCCGCCTCTTGGAAGTTTGACCCCCGGGCTGTCACCAGGGTATCGTCTGCGTAACAGATTACACCCAGCCCGGGGGGGAAATCGGCGCGAAAGGCCCAGTCGTACCCTATGTTCCACAAGAGGGGTCCAAGAACAGACCCCTGTGGAACACCGCACGACATGGGCCGACACCTCATATTACCCTCTCGGTCCTCGTACACGACGGTACGCTCCTCTAAATAGTCTGCCACTAGCCGCCTCAGGTACTTTAGCACCCCATGATAGTGGAGTGCTTCCCTGATGCAGCTGAATGGCAGACTATTGAATGCGTTGGCGATGTCTAATGACACCGCCAACAGCACGCCGCCACAGCTCACGGCCTCTTCGGTCACGGCCCTCAGGCGCAACACGGCGTCGACTGTCGAACGCCCCGCCCGAAAACCAAATTGGGCGTCCGACAGATCGGGGCCCACCTCGTAGAGGTGCCGGACGATGCGGGCAGAAAGAACCCTCTCAAACAATTTACCCGCCTCGTCCAGCAGCACGATGGGCCTATAGGCCGCGACCGAATCGGCAGGCCGTCCCGGCTTAGTCCTTAATAGGACCAGCTTCCCGCTCTTCCAGCACTCAGGGAAACGTCCCGACGCCAAGCTAGCGTCGAACACCTCCCCGAGGCGGTCTGCCATGTGGTTGAGGGCCAGGGCCAGCACTCGGGCCGGTACCCCGTCTGGCCCAGGGGCGGTGTTCTTGGAACGGATCCGTAGAACAGCCGCCCCTACCTCCGAATCCCGGACGGGCGGAACATCATCCTCCTCGTGCTCCCCGTCTTCTCCGGCCAAGGAGGCCATCGCCGGGGGAGTGTGTTCCGCTCGTTGCGGGAAAAGGCCCTCAACCACTTCTCGCAGGAAGCTGGGCTGGAGAGTCTCCGTAAGGGAGGGGCCCGACGCGCGGAGCTTTTGTCGCGCCGCGCGGTAAGGGCGACCCCAGGGGTCACGATTAAGACCCTTCAGCATCTCCTCTCTCTTTTCTTCTTTGGCGCGGCTAATGGCCAGCTTCAGAGTTTTCCGCGCCTGTCGGTACTCCTCATGAAGCCGGTCCTCCTCATCGTCTCCATGGTGACGCCGCCGACTGCGCGTGTAGGACCTCCGGGCACGTGTACAGGCCGCACGGAGGTCCGCCAGCTCCTGGGACCACCAGTAGACCTCCTTCCTTGGAGGCCGACGACCTCGAATGCGGGGCATGGCCGCATCGCAGATATGCGTAATCGCATCGCGAAAGCGACCAGCCCCCACGTCGACCTCCTCGGTCGGAGCCTGAGGAGACAGCCACGAGTGAATTATGGCTGCCTCTTCTAGTAGGTCCCGGTTCAGTCTAGCAACAGCCCACCGCGGAAAGCGGGATAAACGCCGCGCCACGTGACCCCTACTGGAGTCCTGGGTCCGGGAGAGCTCAAATCGGATATACAGATGATCCGAGACCGTCTCAACCTCTTCCAGGACACGCCAGTTCCTTACTCGTGCGGCGAGGGCAGGGGTAGCGAACGAAAGGTCCACTATCGACCCCCCCTGCTGTCGCACGCACGTGTTGGTGGAGCCTCTGTTGAGAAGACAGAGGCCCACCGAGGCCGCCCACTCCTCTACGGCCTCGCCCCTTGCGTCCGTCCTGGGGGAACCCCACGCAATGGACTTTGCGTTGAAGTCCCCAAGCACAAGGACGTGCCCAGACGCTAGTCGCCGTATCGAGGTCTCCAAGCTGGTTAGGAAAACCTCGAAGTCGTTCAAACTCCGGGGGAGAAATAAACACCATATATGGTGATCCCCCCCCACTCGGCGGCAACATATCCAGTGCCCTTGTCTCTTAGCGACAAGGGCGGGGAATGAGCCGCCGTGGAACCGACGACTGCCACGGAGCCGTCCCAGTCACCCATCCAGTTTGGACGGGGAGGTACAAAATAGGGCTCCGCGACTACGGCAACACCTATCGACCACTGTGCCATGGTTTGCAGGAAGAGATCCTGCGCCGCGGCACAGTGGTTCAGGTTCGTCTGGACCAGGAGTTTGGAGACTTGATCCATTACTGGATCGTCTCTACAACCTCCTCCATGGGCGACGACGTCGACGCAATATTTACGTCGGGGGTAGCCTGGGTCGACTGGCTAGCCCCTGACGTCTGCCGAGAACTGCGGGGAGGCTTGCAGCCTCTCTGCCCCATCTGGTGATTGGCGGGCTTATTGCCCGCCGCACACGCAGGGCAGTGAGGGGCGGCAGAGCATTCTGCCGCCTTATGCCCCGGTTGACCGCAGCGGAAACACAGTCCGCCGCAGTCAAAACAGCTGTCGCACTTGACGCGCGTGTGTCCCGATGCTAGGCATTTGTAGCACCTCATCGGTCTCGCCGCCAGGACTGTGATCCTGGCGCTCACGAAACCGATGAGCAGCCTGCCGGCCTCGGCCAATACTTTGGCCGACGCTACGGGACAGCTGACCCACACGGCGCCAAGCCCTCCTGGACCGGGGCGGATGATGCCGACCCTGACGTTGTCCGCGCTGCACCCCGTCTTCTCCCGGATTACAGCGCGGACATCTTCGGACGTTACGGAGTCGTCCAAGCCCGAGATGTGCAGCTCTGCGCACTTAGTAGGCCTGGCGATCTTTACACCATCCGTAGCTGTAAAGAGTCCCCGCAGCTTCTCGGCAAACGTGTCTGCCGTCTTAGCGCCTTCAGCCCCAGGGAACTCGAGGACTCGAGCTCCCGTCTGGGCGAGGCGCATCCTGACCCCGCCGTCCCAAAATCGTTGGCGAGGCTGTCCCGGGCCTTTTTAAAGACGGCCGCGTAGGACAGCCCGCCGTCAGCCGCCTCCGGATACACGGTCACCACTACAGCCGCGGTTTTGGGCGGCTGCAGCTTCCGCGGCCTCTTTATAGAGGCCGTTGCCACCGGTGGCGAAGGCTGGGCTTGGGCTGCTTTTTGGGCAGCCCTTTTGGCCCGCCTTCGGGACTTCTTGGAGCCCCTCGCCTCCTGCCAACCCTCGTTGGAGGGGGCAGGTGCGGAGGGGCCCGGCAGGGATGTCGGAGTGGGGAGCGGAGGGAATGCCACTCCGCACCTCGGCGCTGTTTTAGGCCCCGTCTTGGCCGGCGCCTGGGGATGTGCCTTGGCCGGCGCCTGGGCCGGTGCCTTGGCCGGCGCCTGGGCCGGTGCCTTGGCCCCCCTCCTCGGCTTTTGGGGAGCCGATGGAGTAGGGGCAGACGCCGCCGCCGCGTAAGAAACGCGGCCTCCCACCGCGGGGAGCGCGGTCGGAGCGGCGGCCTTAGGCCGCTGTGCCGACGCGAGCGGGGAAGCGGGCGAACTGAGCGCCCTCACAAACGAGCCCTTAAGGTTTACGGACTTGGTGGCCACCTTGTGGATGACGGCCACCGCCGCTTTCGCCCTCTCCTGCACGGACACGGGAGCCTGGGGGGCATTTCCCCCCACCGGCTCCCGAACCTTGAGCAGGAGATCCGCGATCTCCTCCTCCGCTACGGCCTCGCCGTCCACTCGTACATTCCTGTACGACTCCGCGTTTGAGAAAGCGGAGCCTGACGGGATCGAGACCGAGACCGGTTTGCGTGCCCTCCCTCGGCGGCTGCTTGCCACCTTCGGTGGCATCATCTCCTGGGACGTGTCGGTTTCCTCGTCCCTGGAGCGTCCGCGTTTCCGGCTGTCGCTTCGCTCCGCCTCCATGGCCTCCGCGTCATCCGACGAAACGGCGGATCCGGAACTTTCCGGATCCGGAATTTTCGTCTTCGCCTCGGGGCAACGTGGGCCCCTTCGGGCCCTTCAGCGACTTCAAGCCGCTTACTTCCACCCGAGGTCAGACACCGTGCTTGCCTTTCCACTCGGGCTTTCGCCCTGTTGGCGTTACGGGTCTTCTTGGACGGGTTTGGTTTTTTCGACGCTCTCTTCTTTGTCCTTACCAGGCTCCAGCCGGTTTCTTCCAGGCCGGGTCCCGCAGGCACGGGCATTGCTGCCCTCAAAGAGGAGAGGTCGATGGTCGACACTGGCTCCGTATTCTGGTTAGACACCAGAGGTGTCGCCAGAGTCGTGGATGGCGCTGCGATCGGGTTGTTTGCCTGAGCAGCAGCCAAAGGTGTATTTGTCGGGTTCACCCTTGGGTTGTTCACCCTGGGGTCAGCCGATTGGTGGTTTAGCCTGGCACTTGGGTTGTTCACCCTCGGTACCGGCTTGGTGGTTTTTTTTTGTGTTGTTTTTTTAGTATCCATAATGTGTTTGGTATACTATTCATCTCCTTGTCCTTCCACCCTCCTTGGAGCCCTCAAGTGGGGACGCCGCGGCAGAAGGCACACGACGCCAGAAGTGACAAGGAAATATAGAGCTCCCTCCCTGGCAGAAGGCAGGCCGAACTAGGTAGGAAGACTTGGTCGTCCCACCCGTCGTCCACCCCCACCAGGGAAGAGCTCTCGCCCAGCAGCCCTCTGACGGGATACTACAGCCGATTGACCAAAGGTGGCTAGCCTTCAGCCTCCCGTGTAAAGAGAAATCCAGGCCAAAGCAGTGTGTTGCCTTTCAGCTCAACTACCAGGATCCCTTCATCCTCCCTTACGGGTCCCCGCACACGGCACAAACATGCGGGTGGTTGCCCCCCCTCCCCCTCACTCTCAGTCTTTGTTGATAGTGAGGCCGCAGGCACCAACCACTTAGTGTCCGCAGTAGGTGTGGATGGGATAGGAAATGGGAAAGGATAGGTTTTGTGGGATGGAATTGCGTCTGGGTGTTTCTGTTATATCTGTTTCGTAGGGAATCAGACCTAAAACAGGCGGCAACCACGGGAAGGATGACACCCAGACTTGCCATGGGGATCTACACGACTGTTGCGCTCTCCCCCATGACCATTCGCCGTGCACGCCCTCCGGACAGGAGGGCGGGCGTACCAGGATTGGATCCGCTCCAGGCGATCTTGGCCTATTGGAGCACACCCAACCCCGCCCAACATATAATAAAACATATGTGTGATACATGTTTTGTGTACAAACAAGTATCACTTTGGAATCTTACAAAACCTAGTATTATTATCACTGAGTTGAATTTATCGTTCCAATACCTGGGTGATTTTTTTAAACCATACACTGTTTTTTTAACTTAACAATGCTTTTATCTCCAGTAAAGGCTCCTCCTGGTAATTGTAAATAAACAATTTCATCTATATTTCCATATAAAAAGGCCCCTGTCACATCCATCTGGTAGATAGGCAAAGGAGGATGCCAGGTCACCATAGTGGTTTAGGCCCTGAGTGCCCATATGTGAAAATGGATGCAAATATTTCTTTGACAGATAAATAATTTATTCACAAATTTATTCACAAATATAAGGTTAACACAAAACTTCTGGTTTCATAAATGTTAAGGTTTTTTTTTTAAATGTGGGGGTTTCCAAGAACTTTATTGCACTTGAGTGAGGGCACACTAGTACAATAAAATTCTTGGAAACCCTTCCTGTATACATATAGGGTCATTTCGCCAGTTCGCGTCCATTTAGTGCAGTTGGCAAGTTTGAAGGAGAAGATAAAAATGTTCCAGCACTACAAAAGTTATGTAATGTGTTCATTATATAGTCTACTATAGGGTTCGCTTTCAGTTTTGTTCGAAACTACTTGTGTTTTTTTATAAATAGACAAACTTCAAAAATACGCGTTTTACCCACTTTGCGTCCAAAAAATCTAAATTGCGTCCATCCATAGACCATTTTGCGTCCACCAGCTAAGAAAAGGAATGTAGGGGTGATATTTTTAAGATAATGTTAAGAAAAATTGTATTTTAACAGATTCTTTATTGAGGAATATAGTTATTTGAAAATCAACATTAATAAATCACTATAAAGAAAATAAGAATACCTATTTATTCTTCTCAACATTGATAGAACTTAAAACAAAACTACTAAAAAAAAACGAAACATTATTCTGAAACAGGTAATTAATAATTTTCAACCTTTTAAAGGTTGCAGGTCAACAACAATCAGTTCTGTTAATTTTACCCTAAAATCACGATATTACAGTATCACTGAAGATCAGCCTTGATTGCTAAGTTGTTGGCTATATTATAGCAGCAAAACAACACAATAGTTTTGCCTAATCCTACTACTAAAAGAAATGTTGAATTATAATATTATGATTATGAGACAATGTATGATTACTATTGCCTTCGAATTTTAATTAATCACACAAGTCACATTCAAAAGAATTAACTTTGGCTTCTGAATAACTTAATCCTAGAAATCGCGTGCATTTTAGATGATACCATCTAATACACTTGTCACAGCCAATATTTTTCTCATCGTCGTCTTCTACATCAGAAATTAATACATCGTCACATTCAGCACATTTCATTAGCTCCACGACTGGTACATTTTCTTTCTCAGATTCCACATCTATCGACTCTATCGTTTCCTGTGTGACTTTTATCTTCTTTTTTCGTTTCGGAGCAGTTTTTTTAAACCTTTCGAGCTCTCTCCTGTTATTTTTTCTCTATTCGTTTTAACTTTCTTTTTCGTATTGCTTCCTGTTTTTCGTTCTTGATCTGCTCTTTATCTTCGTAATACTGTATCCATGCAGCAGAAGATATGGCTGCTGGAGTCCTTTGCTTATCAGGTTTTCTTGCTTCTTTAGAAATTTCAGGCAGCATCAGGTGGTTTTTAAATGGATCACAGGTTTTTTTTTACTTGAATCGCCAACAGCTGCTGAAGATGGTTGTACTAGAGGAGAGTTTTCTGTAGGTAAAACGAAGGATGGCGATACAATTGATACTGTATGAATCAAAAAGGTCAGGGGCGGTTCTAGCGTTTGTTCCTTAGTAGGACTTTCTTTTTCAACACTTGACGTAGTGGGAGTGGAAGTTGATAATATGATATCTTCTAATGGTAGAATTAGAACGTCGTCTAAGGACACGATAGAGTCAAGATCAAGGCCAGAAAAGTGTAACGTCGAAAAAGACAAATCAGAGAACGAATTGTTTTTGTTGGTATCAAGAGTTTTAGAACTATCCGGATATAGTGTGATTTCATCATAGTCAATTTTAGAAGAAGCTAGATTTCTGTTGCTGGTGATTTTTGATGAGCAAGGCTCGGCATTGGTGGATGGTTTTGGTGCAGAATGTATTTCGGCTGTTACTGTTTGAACCTGCACAGTCGAATCGGAGTTAGCTTCATCATTTATGTTTTCGTCTTCTACGTGTAATGAAGAGATGGTGATTTCTTTAGTTGCATCCAATTCTAAAATAGTACTATTTTGTTCTATTGATAGTTCCATAAGAGACCTCTCAGATTCCGTTTCGATAGAAATCTCTGCAAAGCCAACTTCTGCAGGGAGAGTATTTTTCAAACTATTGACTGCTCTCGTAATAGTTTGAATGTTAATATTTTTAACTTTTAGTGTCGGTTTCAGGTGTTTTAAAACTTTTGATGTCCGAGTGGGTAATATCTTGTGACTGTTGATCAATGGCCTGTACATTTTCCAAAGTATTTCTTACACATTTAGTGTAATCAGGACTATTTGCATCGAATGGGTATAGAGCACATCGCTTAAACCTGTTTTTGATGTTGTCGGCCATGTTAGGATGTTGTAATGCTTCATTTAATAATGTGTAAAAGTTTGTTTTTGTAACGGCAGAATTTAAATTTTCTGGTTTTGATAGGAATGCGCGGACTGTAGTTTTCCAATATGTTTTTACTGGTGCAAAGACGCTCCCGTCTACCAGCAGAAGAATTGGTTTTATGATGTTATTTTCCACCACCCAGTTGTGAAACTCGTTGGTCACGTATTCAAAGAATACTTCTCCTCTCATCCAACCTGTCTCCGATCTGCCTAAGCACCATTCTTGGGGAATAGTATTCACTACAGCCTTTGGTGGTCTAATGTATGAAAACACGACACAAGGTGGGCACATATCTCCATTCGCATTAAATATCAATAATACCGTTAAGTTTTCTTTTTCATTACTTGGCTTTATTTGATATAAGTTCTTGAAACCTCTTGGGCCTAAAACTTTTCCTGTTTTTGGACAAAGAGCAAATCCACTTTCGTCTCCATTAAAAATTCTTTTCGGATCATTCAAAATATCTTTTTGGTGTATACTGTCCAAATATTCCTCAAGTTCTCTAAACCACAATCTGATCGACTCTTCTGTGACTTGGGCTCTAGCTTTATTAATACCTTCCGCATTTTTAAGTGAGACTTCATTATTTCTGGCCAAGAATTTTCCAAACCACTTTTGACCTGGCCGATCATCTTTGATTTTATTTTTAAACATCACGAATTATTTTCTGAACAGTATCGAACAATTCCTGTTTTTTCACTGGAAATCCACATTTGGAAACTGTACAAGCAGGTTATTGTACGTAAGTTTTATCTTTTGTAATTTGCATTACCTTCACTAGATGGCGTTATTCAATTTGTGTACACGTCTACATCGCGGTATAAAGATTTTCTGAATGTTTATTATAACCCTGATACTGTGTTACTTTAAATATACTCGGTTAACACCGTAAATGGAATTTGGTTGTTTTACTACTAGTAAACCCTTACTCTATTTACGCTTGAACCCCTGCACAAAGGATTTGTTCAGAAATATTAAGAAGCCATTCACTCCTAGCGCTGATTCTGTTCCCGGTTTCTTAACTCGATAGATTTTGTCCAATAATGTGGTCTTGGGAATAGCATATTCTTTGCATATTTGTCTTATCGATTTTTTCTTCTCACGAATGTCTCTTAATGCTTTCTTTAAATCTTCTTCTGTGTATGTTTTCTTTTCTTTTTTCTTACTACCTTCCCAAGAACTCATCTTAAACAGGAAAAAATAAAAAATTAAGCATTTCACTGCATTTAGTTTGTAAAAAATTGAGTGTTAAACTCTTAGTTTTAATAAAAAAATCAATACATATTAAATTATTTTTACAAATAACTAAAAAAAATATATTTATGCTATTATTTGTATTTAATAAAAAAAAATGGACGCAATTTGGTACAATACTATTTCCCTGTAGGTATAGTTTGCGTCCACATGTGATGAACGATATTTGTATCTTTTTCTATAATCATAATAATGTGGACGCAAATTGCTCAATACGATTGCATGATATTAGTACATAAATAAAAAATAAAAACAAATTCCCTTTCATAATTTAATCACATAAAAATAAACACTAACTAAATCATAAATAGACGAGTTCGCGTCCATTGTGGTCGCAAAGTGCAAGTTTTATAAATTCAGTGTAGTAATTCGCGTCCACCTTATTTTAACTGTTAACTTTAAAAAAAACTAGCAGATACATAATTAATATTACTCCTTTTTTCATGCTTTATGTCCAGAAACAGCTGTGTATTCTAAAATACGCATAAAACAATAACATACTTACCGTCGAACCCGCCCCTGCACACTATTTTTTTTGCCAACATTTCGCGCGTCAGCGCTTCTTTGTTGAAGAACGGAGACTAACTATTTTTTCTACACTTGATTAATTGGGCACACAGAACTTTTGTCTATGTGTGTGTGCCTCTTATACGATGAGGTATTGGCGGTAACGACTTTTCGGTGATTTAGTGTGTTAATATACCTATTTTCGAGAATTTTTATAGGGAGGTCCGAAAAATGGACGCGAATAGGGTGATGGACGCGAACTGGCGAAATGACCCTATCTAGTTAATATTGTATTTATAATTCATCCATCCATGTCAGCCCATAAACCTCCCACTACTGAGCATGCGCATCCTCCAGTGGTGGATGAAGAATTTGGCCTACTATACCATGCTGGACAAATGGGTTGGTATAGTTTTCGGGTTCTTTTTTGATCTTTTATGATCTTAGATGGTTAAAAATGAAACTCAGTTTAAATAGTTAAACCTTCATTCATCATAGACTACTAAAACATCATCCAAAAATTGAGCAGGAAGAAAAATATTACATTGATGCTGTGCCCACCCCAAATACCATAGCACTGTCATGAAATGGGCACAGCATCCTACTGTACGACGGCCAACAATGCAGTTGCAGCAGTATTGTTTTATAGCCTCACGACCAGTTTCCGTATTGGTAACTAGTATATATATAAGGTATATTTTGCGACTTATGTGTCGACTTGCAATACTTGCTTTTCTCGTAATTAGGTAACAATTCGATCAAAAATTAGTTCTTCCATTATTCTATTCCTAAAGTCTCAAGAGACTTCTATTTGGTATGACCCGTTGGTTCTTAAATGCTCTCTGTAATTGTTGTAATTTGTGTAAAATGTAAATATTATTCTCTTTATCTTCATAAAGTTATGCGTGGCGCCATCTATTGGCAAAATAATTAAGTTAGTGATGTTAAAAGATCAAAATAACTAGATTTGAAAATTCCTATTGATGTGAAACTGCCAGATGGTAGAGTATTAAAAGCGACCAGAGTAGGTACAATAAAAATGTATTTCAAAAATTATAATAATAAAAAATACATTGATCTGAAAAATTATTATTTTGTAAAAGATATGAAAAGTTGTTGCTAACAAAGTAGACAATTTGTACTGTTTAAAAAGTTTTGTTTCAAAGTTAAATATCAAGAAAATGTATGTAAATTCAATAAAGTTAACCGATAAAGAGAAATGGCATAGGGCACTTGGTCATGTAAATTTTCAATATTTAAATAAGTTAATAAATAATAAATTAGTAGAAGGTTTACCAGATAAGGTTGAAAGCACAGAAATGAAGTGTTCAAATTGCATTGAAAGCAAAATGTCTAATGTACCTTTCAAAAATAATAGAACTAAGACTACTGAAATATTAGAATTAATACATACTGATTAAAACGGTTCTCATGGCACAACTGGTTATGGTGGAGAAAAATATTTTTTGACATTTATCGATGATTACAGTAAATGTACAAGGATTTTTTGTATTAAAAGCAAAGCAGAAACTGCAAGTTGTTTAACAGAATTTGTTAATTTAGTAGAAAATAAATTTAATAAAAGAATAAAGAAATTACAGTGTGATAATGGCAAAGAATATTTGAATCGAGACATAAATAATTTCATTAGACAAAAGGGAATAGAGTTATTACCATGTCCACCCTACGTCCATGAATTAAATGGAGTATGTAGAGCATTTAAAGATTTATGGAAGTAGAGTGTATGTCAGGGATCCAGAAGTTTTAAGAAAAAGTAAATGGGATGATAAAGCCCAACTAGGAGTGTTAGTAGGTTATAATGAAAACAGTTATAGAGTATTGTTAAATAATAGAATAATCAATGCTAGACACGTACAGGTAGTCGAAGAGAATACTCAATTAATTTGTCTAGAAAAGGTTGATGATGAAAATTATAGGGATTTGGAAACTAACAAAACTATAAATATTAAAAATGAAGAATTTAAAACTAACATTGATGAAAACTATGTAGATGATAATGAAACAAATACTAATAATACTGTGAAAGATCTTGTTAAAGATGGTAAAAATAAAGATAATGTAAGCAACGATAAAGACAAACTTATAATAAAAGAAAGGGCTAAAAGAAAGATAAATCCAGTGTCTAGATATGGTAATTCAGTATCACATTTTATTTATGTAAATTACATTGATGCGAATCTACCAAATACATTTGAGGAGGCGATGAATTCCCATGACCATAAACAATGGCAAATAGCGGAAATAAATAGTTTAAATAAAAATAACATATGGCAAATTGTTGAAAGGCCAAAAGATAAAAAAGTTATTGATGTCAAGTGGGTCTTTAAAAAGAAAAGTAATAATGTTTATAAAGCAAGATTAGTTGTACGAGGATTTCAGCAAAACGAATACCTTGAAAATTTATATTCACCAGTAGGAAAAATGCAAACATTGAAAATTTAATTGTCATACAGTTGTAAAAATAATTTATTCATGGAACAAATGGATGTTGAGAAAGCGTTTTTAAATGGTCATATAAAGTCAGAAGTGTTTGTAAATCAACCGGAAGGTTATGAAACTATGGACAATAAAGTTTACAAATTGCAAAAGGCACTCTATGGTCTTAGAGAGAGCCTTAGAGTATGGTATGATTGTTTCAACAAATTTATTGAAAAATTGAATTTTCTTAAAAGTAACTATGATTAATGTCTTTATGTTAATTGTACAAGCAAAGATCCAATATATTATATATTTGTTGATGACCTTCTAATTTGTTGTAAAGATAAGGAAAAAGTAAAAAAGGTAAAAACTAGTTTAATGGCAAAAAAAAAAAAAATTTTGCAATGAAAGACCTTGGAAAAATTAAAAGTTAAATAGGCATAGATATTGATTATAGTGATGATAGAAAAAAAATGACCTTAAGTCAAACAAAGTATATTGAATCTTTGTACATTTTCACAAAGTATATAATAACAAAGTATATTTTCTTTTTTTCTCTGTCAAATATAATCTAAAAAATACTAAGTTGTATGAAACTCCAATAATAATAATAATAACCTCACACATCTCACACACGTCCGTCTGATCCCAAACTAGGCAGAGCCTGTGCTATGGTAACCAGACTGCTGATAAACATACTTATATATTTTTAAATACACACATATTATAGATAAATTACACCCAGACACAGAACAAATGACCGTGCTCATCACACAATATTTGTCCTGGGTGGGAATCGAAAATTTAATTGTCATACAGTTGTAAAAATAATTTATTCATGGAACAAATGGATGTTGAGAAAGCGTTTTTAAATGGTCATATAAAGTCAGAAGTGTTTGTAAATCAACCGGAAGGTTATGAAACTATGGACAATAAAGTTTACAAATTGCAAAAGGCACTCTATGGTCTTAGAGAGAGCCTTAGAGTATGGTATGATTGTTTCAACAAATTTATTGAAAAATTGAATTTTCTTAAAAGTAACTATGATTAATGTCTTTATGTTAATTGTACAAGCAAAGATCCAATATATTATATATTTGTTGATGACCTTCTAATTTGTTGTAAAGATAAGGAAAAAGTAAAAAAGGTAAAAACTAGTTTAATGGCAAAAAAAAAAAAAATTTGCAATGAAAGACCTTGGAAAAATTAAAAGTTAAATAGGCATAGATATTGATTATAGTGATGATAGAAAAAAAATGACCTTAAGTCAAACAAAGTATATTGAATCTTTGTACATTTTCACAAAGTATATAATAACAAAGTATATTTTCTTTTTTTCTCTGTCAAATATAATCTAAAAAATACTAAGTTGTATGAAACTCCAATAATAATAATAATAACCTCACACATCTCACACACGTCCGTCTGATCCCAAACTAGGCAGAGCCTGTGCTATGGTAACCAGACTGCTGATAAACATACTTATATATTTTTAAATACACACATATTATAGATAAATTACACCCAGACACAGAACAAATGACCGTGCTCATCACACAATATTTGTCCTGGGTGGGAATCGAAAATTTAATTGTCATACAGTTGTAAAAATAATTTATTCATGGAACAAATGGATGTTGAGAAAGCGTTTTTAAATGGTCATATAAAGTCAGAAGTGTTTGTAAATCAACCGGAAGGTTATGAAACTATGGACAATAAAGTTTACAAATTGCAAAAGGCACTCTATGGTCTTAGAGAGAGCCTTAGAGTATGGTATGATTGTTTCGCCGAGGAGAGGGGCCAAGGCACCGGCCCAGGCGCCAGTCAAGGCGCCGGCCAAGGCGCCGGCCCAGATGCCGGCCAAGACGAGGCCTAAAGCGGCGCCGAGGAGCAGAGTGGCTTTCCCTCCGCTCCCCGCTCCGACATCCCTGCCGGGCCCCTCTGCACCTGCCCCCTCCAACGAAGGTTGGCAGCAGGCAAGGGGC